ACTGCAGGAGTTTCTTGTGATCATGACTGATTCCTGCAGCCGTTTGCAAGCTTTCCTGCGTCACTGCACTGCCCAGGCTTTCCACTGTCAGCGCCATGTCAATATCAACCAGAAATCAAAAGAATAAAATAAACTATAATTTACTTAAAGCATTTTACTTGAAGTCTACTTAAGGGCGATTAAGAAGTTGTAATTTTTGATTATGCATGGCAATATTGTTTACATTTTGCGACTAGTCAAGTACTGCCCCCGACTAAAGATTCTTCTAGTCAACTAAACAGGGACTTAATTGCACATTTATATTAATTTACTGGGAGTGGGGAACTAAACCTTAATGAGGCTTTAATATACAGCCTATGCACGCTCAAGTAAAGCTTGCCTCAAAACACCGGCAAAAGCAATGACTGTGTTGGGGAAAAATAGCAGTAGTAGATATTTTAATAGTTTATTAATAAACTGGTGTTTTTTCAGTCAGTGTATCAGATGCAGAGATGAAGTAAACAACGCTGACTCGCAGCTCTGCAGTACAGTTACATGCCTTAAGAGAGATATGTTCCTTATGCGGATTGCATAATCAGAGGGTTTCTGTTTTCCATTTGAATTGGTTAATTTTAAAGTAGACATTTCAAGCTTTCTGTAGATGTATTTCTTATGGCTTTGAGGCTAGTTTTGCTGCGCTTGAGTTTTGTGCTGCGCTCCAGTTTACAGAGACAGAGAAAGCACATCCTGTTTGTTTTCTTTATTTTACAGAAGCACAATGTTTTGTTGACATTGTGAGTGCACACAAATATACTAGTAATACAATATAATAAAATAGTAATAAAATATACATCAAAGGTGAAGAACCCATAATCATATAGACAATAATTATGAATACTGGGGAGACATATCCGTCTCTACCGTCTTCCTCAGTAATACAAATAAAAATAAACAATTACAAAGATTCTCAATAATATGACCTGTTGACTAGACAAAATACTTAATGATAATCATCTTAATAATGGATCAGTTTCTTACAAACACGCAGCTTTTGTCTTCTCAAGACATTAACTGATGGACTGGAGTGGTGTGGATTATTGTGATGTTTTTATCAGCTGTTTGGACTCTCATTCTGACAGCACCCATTCACTGCAGAGCATCCATTGCTGAGACACTGATGCAATGCTACATTTCTACAAACCTGATGAAGAAACAAACAATTAATTAAATATGCATGGCTTTTTTGAGTTCTCATGCTGATGGATTATTAAACAGACTTCCTGCAAATAGCCCTATTTTTTCACTCTCCATAAACAAAGACAGAGGAGCTCAAACAGCACAGATGATTCTCTCTCCGCTGTAAATTGCAGGTGTGTGAGGATTTGTTCAAGTGCATTCAAACATGCTCATCAAGATTACAGCTCCGCCTTCCAGAGTGATTTACAGTTGCAGTTGTTCCTGCTGTTATTGTAATGTGAGGACACATGCATGATTTACCAACATAATATCTGGAGCAGCGGTAATGAACTGGAGCTGTATATGCAGTGAGAATGTCAGTGAGATGGGATCATTAGCAGAGAGCCTCCTCATGCACTGAACAATCCATGAACAGGCAGGTAATGAGACCACTTTCACATTCATGCACATCACATATGTGACCATGGACCACAAAAGCAGTCTTAAGTCGCTGGGGTGTATTTGTAGCAATAGCCAAAAATACATTGTATGGGTCAAAATTATAGATTTTTCTTTTATGCCAAAAATCATTAGGATATTAAGTAAAGGTCATGTTCCATGAAGATATTTTGTAAATTTCCTACCGTAAATATATCAAAACTTCATTTTTGATTAGTAATATGCATTGCTAAGAACTTCATTTGGATAACTTTAAAGATGATTTTCTCAATATTTAGAGTTTTTTGCTCCCTCAAATTCCAGATTTTCAAATAGCTGTATCTCAGCCAAATATTGTCCTATCCTCACAAACCATACATCAATGCAAAGCTTATTTATTCAGCTTACAGATTCTGTATAAATCTCAATTTCAAAAAATTGACACTTGTGACTGGTTTTGTGCTCCAGGGTCACATATGTTGATTCTGAGACAATAAAGTCACTAAAAAGTTTGCACTGCATGAAAACAATTTTCAGTCTGTGTGTCATATAAGCACGAGTAGATATTATTGGACATTGAAAGCAAAAACTATTCATCTGTGAAAGATGAGCTCTGATTAAGCACCTTGTCTGAGAATCTTACATTTTTGCTAAAAGTTGTGTTATTTGTAAGGAAAGGTGTGTGTTTTTAAGTATGTTTTATGCACCATTCTTAATCACCTTTTTAAATATTCCATGTAGCATTTCAATTAATCTGAGGTCATGAAAACACCAAATACATTAAATCAGTAGTAAGAGGCAAAGCTTTCCTTCCTCCTAATGTGCAAGCTTGAAAATGTCTTTCATGGATCCCCAAGAGAGTGGCCTTTAGTAAGGGGTTCTGCGAGTCACTTCATCAAACTCAGTAATTGGTCAAAAAATTGCCCAATTTTGTTACTAATTGCCCAGAATTGTTTTTACATTTTAAATGTGAAAAATGCAAATTCATGATCAGTGAACACATAATGCAAGTATATATAAATGAACATTTCTGTTAAGCATTGTTGAGTTTCATACATTGCTGTCTTTCATAGCTTTTAGGATAATTTCCCAAAATAGATTATTATTCATAATTCATCTGTGCACATAATTCCAAAGAAAACACATGCTTCTTGGAAATCTTTTATCAAAATGTAGGCTAATAACTCGCTTTATGAAGACATTACACTGATTTTAACATACAGTTATTTATGCCACTGTTTGGAAGAGCCCCTTTTTCCATTTTATTTTCATTTAATTTTTTTACTTTTTTTTTCTGCTGCCTACACCTCGATAGACTGCAGACTAGGTTTTGAGACAGTCATTAAATACACATTAAGAAAACACTGGAGTGTGACAGTAAGGATGCACACTATCACTCATTACAAATTGCCTGGTAATGGCACATGTATTTGATATACGTATAGTAACAGTTAATACTGAATTAGTAGTTGAATTTCCTGACTGGATCTATACTAGTCCCTCAGTTTGTAAGGATATGCAGTGGTTACACAATAATCCAGCTTGCAATGGAATCAATGTTACACTACACTTGATTTTACAGATATCCCACTCTGCAGAAAGGATTTCAGGAGATGAAATAGATGCACAAACAACCCCCTGTAGTGTAGTGTGACGAAATAATAGGAAATCTGAACGCAAGCGGTCACAGGAGACACATTTGAAATGCATGATGATACCAGGTAAAACCACTAATGTGTCTTGGCTGAAAATTTGTTATCAGATCACCAAAAACACATCTTGAAACCAGGTAGAAACAGGGATTCTCTCTCACACGCTCGATTTCCAGGATATTGCATACAATATGTGGGAGACTCCTGGAATTTCTGGGAGAGGTGGGATGTCTGTTACCCTCAGATCAAATATGGCACATTATCAGGAGACACATGAGATCCAGTGACATTTGATGTCCTTGTCTAGGCTACAGAGGCTAATTGATCATATATAACACTGTTCTAGTGGTTTTTGGATATTTTAATAAAATAATCTTACATATTGTGCCTTTAAGTGGTAGGCAATATTAACAAAATCACGTGGCTTTAAAGGACTTTAGAAGGAGTCTTTCATTGATCTTTTGACGTATAACAGGTTATTGTACTATAAAAAACATCCTGAAAGATACAGAACTCAAAATTTTCTGGTGAGTTTTTATTGATACCAAGTTTATGACGTCATAGTGCGACGAAAGACCGCTTCTGCTGAAGAAGATCAACGCCTACTTCTACAGCGCTGCCTCTTTAGCCCCGCCCACTGAGTCACGCATCACAGCAGCGTCATCTTATATGCAAAACTGTTAGCCAATCAGAGCAGTGGGCGTTTACTTCCGAGTCTTGAAGGTGCCCTGCCTATAAAAACAAAGGGTCAAAAACAGGATAAAAAATAGCCTTATTACTTCTAAATTATGATGTTATGTAAAAACGTTATAAGTGGACCTCAGAGAACATTAGGCTATATAAAATACTAATAATAGTAATAAAAAATGCAGTTCATGACCCCTTTAAAATTTGTTTTAATTATTAATTATTATTTAATTATTATTTGTTTTTCTTTTGGCATCTTACAAACGTCCCCATTCATTTAATACATGGGAAACAGACGCTGGGTCTCAGCTAACAGGGAATGTGCTCATAACCTTCTGGCAAATGTTTCTCAAAGCTAAGAACAAACGTTCTTTTAAAATGTTCGCTCAAAGTCATATGGTCTTTAATAAAGTTATCAAAATGTTAGCACACAATTATTAATTATACACTGTTCATTGATTTTTTTTTCCGGAAACATTTTAGTTGCTTTTTAGATGCTTTTCAAACTTCAAACGTTTCAAAAGTGTTTGCAAAATGGTCAAATTTTATTTTCTAACATTAACATAACAAAAAAAAAAAACACGTTGTTTATTATTATTATTATTATTAATATTATTATTATTAACTGGACGGTTTGATTTTAATGTAATGAAAATGTTGAAAATGAGAAAAGTAGCATATTTTTGGAATGGGAGGTTTGGAGCTATTTTAAGTGTGTAGCTATAAATGATGACCATATATAGGCTAACAACGAAGCAAATTGAGAAAAAAATCCATCACGAAACTACAATTTCATCAGTCTGGAAGCACAGCCCTAAATAGGCGATTTACAGTTCAAAAACACACTTTGTACTGTGAAATTAGCTAATATGCGCTTTAACAATAATACGAGCTGCATTTATTTTGAAGCCTCGTTTACAAACTGAGGAACGAGTCGAAATAATCGAGCCTATCCGAGCCGGGTAAACTATAGCCAGAGTGGATGGAGGAATTCTCCAGAGTGCTGAAGTAGGCTACACTTCTTCATGCACACTACCGAGGGATCAGCCACACCCGCTTCAGTTTATTGGGCATCTTTCCGTGGAACGTCACATGCAAAAGAGCCACACGCACGTTTATGCCGATGAATTATAGATTAAAGGGAGGCAGAACATGCAGATTGGGTCCCACGCACAGACACGGTCCGACTGCCCTCGCCTCACCCACCGATGACTGCGGAGATGCGTCCTGACGAGCCCTGCTGAAGAGCTCCAGCGTTCATCTGCGTTTGACAGCGTTCACTCACTGACAGCACGGCGAAGACAGCACGATGCTGGGGTTCTGTAGAGCTGGGACAGCGCTGGCTCTCATCCTGCTCAATGCTCTGGTGCTCATAGCTGCAGCGGACGAGGAGCTCATCTTCAGCGATCATTTTCTGGTCCAGCTGCACGAGGGGACGACCGAAGATGCTCATCAACTTGCCCTGGAGCACGGCTTCGGGAGCGCAAGGAAGGTAAGTAGCAGTATGCACAGCAGAACGCCTCCGAAACGGCCACTTTGATGCATGCATGTTGGTTTTTAGACATTTATAATTATGCAATCACATATAGCTGTCAATCATGAAAATCTGAGTACAAGATGTTCTCTTGTGGACAACACAAACAAAGCAACTGGAATGAAGTGCTGCGTCCATTCAGCAAAATGCAAGCTCAGAAGTTGAAAGGCTGGTGAATAAAACTGCTGTTATGTTACAGTGCATCAATTTAAAAGCCATGCCTAATTGATTGTTTTTTTTTTATGGTCATATGGATCATTAGGCTTTCCTACAGAAATCTTAAAGGAAAGTGTACAGGATTCCTACTGGAACTGCCAAATCCTTCAGGGATGAATAAGAACACTTACAAATGTTAGTTTGTTATTATAATAATAATAAATGTGAAAACAGGAGTGCCAGTTTATCCAGTGGGATTTTTGTACGTTTTGATCTCATAAGAATACATAGGATTGGTTCCAAATGTATGATTTCAATAAAAAACCCCATTGCTGTAAGATCATTGGACTAGTGTGGAACTAGAGATTGGATATATACAGATATTCTGGTAATGATGAAAACAGTAGGCTATTATTATTAGGATGTGCATGTTTAAAAGTAAACACAAATGAATCACAGTTTCTTGTTTGGAGTACAATAGAAATATAAAAACAAGACTTTAACCCCTCGGAACTGCAGAAAATAGCATAATATCATTCTTTTCTGTTGCATACGTGTTATGAGCAGTGAGACAATGACTGAGAGTAAATAGTAAACATGTCTTTCTTCTGACATCGCAGTGTTTATTTATTCCATCTCACGTAGGGCCGTTTATCCCTGAACAGAGGACTTGATTAGCCTGACAAATCAGCCTTGTCAAATGTCAAAGCATGTCTGCTGCAGCTCTCACTGGAGTGGAACAGAGCTTAGGAATAACACCTGACCCATTATCATGTGTATGGCTTATTGCATGTTTTTGAGAGGGATTTTGTCCTCCTCATTCACACCCGCTCTGTCTGAGCCAGTATATGCTCCCCTTGAATTGTGTAATTCTCTGCTTTCTTTGCTCAATTAAGACGCACCCTAATAAACACTGAGCTCTGTTAGCTGAACTGGACAGTCTGCAGCTTTTCGCTCACATTATATGAGTTCAGTTCCTCAATCACAATTAACTGTCAGTGCCTTTTATTCAGGGATTCTTCTTTTCTTTACCATGGCAAGTCTCATAGAACAGGATTTTAATTTATAATGACAGCCTGGTGGTGAAATGACTTTGTCCTCCTGAAGTAGAGGAACGATTAGGAATAAATACAAATATATAAAATGAATTACACCAAAAGGTAAATTTAAAGAGCTAATACTTTATAGAAACTACAATTATAGTTGAATCTACAGCAAGACAGCAGAGTTAAAATGAAAAATACAATACAGCTGCCAAAATATGGTTTATATGTGATGGTTTCAGTCATTCAGAGCTGATTTTACATTCAGATGTTAAGTGGATGATTTGATTTGTGGCCGAGCGACATTTCGGTATATTTTGCACTCGAACTGCACTATTTCTACTTCAATATTTCAAGTTAACTGTAATGAATATAGTGTAGTACATGGGTCATTCCTAGTATTCGGTGCCATTTGAGTCCCCATGACATAATGTAAAAATGGGTTAATACTTGTTTCTGAATGCTAATCTTACAAAGTTACTGCCCCTCTACAATCAAACACAATAAACATGTGCTTAAAAATTAATTAATTAAAAAGAATTACTCTTATTTTAGTGCAAGTAGGCTAAGATGCCATTTCCCCAAGTAAGCTTGCATAACTTCAGCCACAAATACAAGTAATAAAAATCAAACAAATTCCATTTTTTTTTCAATATTGTTGTATACTCTTATTTATAATATTCCTCAACAAAATATATTTTTTTGTTATTTATACATTTTTAATGCTTAAAGTCTTTAAAAGATGTTGTGTCCCTGAATTGAATGTCCCCCCTGTTACTCTGATGAAAAGTCCCTCTGAACACGGCCCTTGAATGTTTCTCTACTAACATGATTCTCAGGAAGTATAACACTTTTTGGTGGCAAACTATCTACAAGAAGCAGAGTAATTAACAATCTTTAATTCACCCTTTTTTCAGTGTTTTATAATGATTCACTGATGTGGTAAAGCATAACATGTCCACTCTGTTATGCTTATTTCTAATGGAAACTGATAACTTTTTGTAATTTTGAAAATATGGTTAATAAGCAGGTTAAAAATCTTCCTCTGTGATCATTACGCACTAGCTTGTTGATTATTACATGAGTAGCAATAGCTGACTTTAGCATAAAATGTCCCTCCTGTCACTGTCCACCCTGTTACGGTTTTGCACTGTAACAGGGTGGACATATTGTAACATTTGATGTAAAAATTACATAAATAAGTGTTTAAAGCATGTATTGGTACTTATAATTAATTTATTATGCATTTAAAAGAAAGAGTTGCTTAAATAGTATGCATGTAATTGTCAGGAAATGGCGCTGTTGTCTGCTGAAGAAAAGCAGCGACGCTACAGGGCTCGTTGTGATGCACACCCTGAAAGAAGGCAGATATACCTCAATAAAAAGAACGGGAGGTGGAGAAAGGACATAAAAGAAGGAAGAAAAAAAAGAGTGTTAGAACTCAGCTTTGTTGATTAAGTAGAAACTGTAATAAATTATCTTGACTTTGCCATTACAATGTGTGTGTGTCTCTGTGGTGTGTGTTCGTGTCTACGTGCTGTGTGTGTGTGTGTGTGTGTTTGTGTGTGTGTACTGGTATTCCCTGCATTATGTGGTCCAAATGTTCCCACAGGTATAGTAATAACAGTAAACTTTCATCTTGTGGGGACATTTATTTGGTTCCCATGAGGAAAACAGCTTATACTCTAAGTCATACAGAATTAAGTGTTTTGAAAACCTAAACTAACTGTAGTTTTGTGTGAGGGGTAGGTTTAGGTGTAGTGTTAGGGTAAGGATATAGAAAATACAATTTGTACAGCAGAAAAACCATTACGCCTATGGCATGAGCCCATAACGATAGGAATTTTAGTGTGTGAGTATGTGCGTGTGTGTGATGTGTGCGTGTGTGTGAGAGAGCGAGAGAGAGCAAAATAATATGTTCTCTAAAACGATAAACTTTCAGTAGTAAAATACAATGATAAACCTATTTTGTAGCCTAATAAATGGACAGCATAACAAAGTAGATCTTATAATAATAGGTATAAGAACAACTTACTTTAATGTGTAATAGGCCTTATATCCTATACATTTTATATACAGAACAATCTATCTGTTGTAGTGATTGTAAATTGTGACAATATGCTTCTTGTATTAGGCAACATGTTGAAATATACTGTTGTTTAGTGGTGTGATGTCCACCCTGTTATGTCCTGTCCACTTTGTTTCCCCCTCTGTCCACCCTGTTACCTCAGTGTTTTTTTGATATTACTAAAATAAGTTCAACAAATGCTATGCATATATTTGTGGTTACTTGTAGGGAATTAAATGGTAAAACGAAATAAGTTAAAATGGTTTCCAAAATTCCATTTAAATGTATTTTTATTCTAAAAGAAATGTGTTGAAATTACGCTGTCTCAAAAATACAACAACTTTTTTCAAGATAATGCCCGATTATGAACACTTTGTTAATATACATATGCAGAGTAAAGAGAGGGACATTTTAGCTCTTAGAAAATGTAAATATTACAATAACTGTGCATTCAAAACACTTGTTAATTGAGATGAGTATGTCCTGTAACAGGGTGGACATTTGGTCCTTGCACGTCTGAGGAATTCCATGAAAAATTATTAAAGAATAATATCCTGAGCTGGACCAACATATTTTTCTTATAGTGTAACAAGCCCTTCTTCAGATAAAATGATTACATCATGGAAATTTAAACATTTTTTTATGGAAAGTCACCAAGATGAAATGGCACCGAATAGAAACAATATCTGCTCGCTTAATCTTGGAATTTATTAACTTCAGAAATATGAACTGATGTTTTCGAAGTTTGAATACCATGTATTTTATTTAGTTGGTGTCAGACTAGGTTTTGTAGAGCCAGTGATGTTCTTGTGTAATATTCAAACAGTGTCAGTTGATCATATAATACACATCAAAATTATCATCTCTGGGGCTATTAGTTGCTAATTTTGACCCACAAATACTTAGCTTTAATCTAATATTACACTGTAAAAAATGTGTTGTGCTATCTACTTAAAAAAATTACGATAACAATATTACACATAATACTCACTAAAAACATAAAATAGCACTTAATTTCAATATTTACTCTCCATATCCAGCCATATGCAATGCATGCTGGGAACTAACAATCACTGCCAAAATAAAACTGCATAATTGAGCTATTTCTCTTAAAATGAACAGGTAGCCTTTTTTCAGTTTGATCAGGTTCTCAATTCAAGCCTCAAAATTTCCTTCAAAAATTAGGAAAACATATCTCTTGGTTTTATTAGTGAAATATTTTCTATACAACACTGAAACACAATGTCTTTAATAAAATATACAGTATCTTTTTAAATGAAAAATACAAGACCCATGATTCAGTTTTTACAGTGTACACTTGAATATTTGCATGCACAAACAATTTCAGCATGTTTTCTAGGCACATTTCACAACATTTTCATGCTGAGGAGGGTTTTAGTGCATTAAAGAGTTAGGGTTAAATTTATGAATTCACAGTGGGATGAAATATTGACATATAGCCAGACACTCAGCCTTTTTTGACCTTCAAAAACATTATCAGTCATACTTGGGGAAAACATGCATCTGTTGGGTTTCCATAATCATATTCCACATTTCTTAAGAGGCCAAACTCTCTGCTCTCAGCTCTTCTAATACAGGTGTGTTTAATTGCAGCTTCCTTTTGGCGAGGGACTATTTCATTTCTACCCGCGGGAAATCCCTAAAACCAGGAGGAAACGCAGCCTGCAGCAGCACCGGCGCCTGGCGAAGGATCACCGGGTAAGACCAGAACCCCACCGTGTGTTTGTTCCCATAGAAACTAGCCCAGGCGCATCTGATGCCAGAGCCACTGCTTGTAAGAGTTCAAGGCTAACGTGTCAATCACACGATCACTCTGTTCTGGCTCGTACCTTGGCTTGATGGTATTTTGAGTGGATTATCTTGAGTGGTATTCTATCAAGTGTTATGACACTATGCAGTCTGAATGAGGTTACATTATTATTTATGACAATCTCACACACAGCATGGCCTTTTTTACATTATTAAATGTACAGCATAAGATTTGCATAATGTATGTATTCACATCAGTGTTAATTTCGTTGACGAATAATTTTCGTTAACAAAATTTTTTTCACCGACGACAACGAGGCAATAACGAACTAAAACTCTTTTTGAATGACAAAAACTATGACGTAAATCTATTGACATTTTCGTCAACGTATAAAAACGAGACAAAAATGTTAGGGAGGGACGATTTGGGAAGAGATTCATTCAGAACGAATCTGCTGCGTGGTTCGGTACATATGAACCGGCGGGACATGAGCTAACATACACTTGCTGCACGTCGCATAAAACATTAAAAAATGTCAATATGTGGGAGTAAGAGAAGAGCAGACATATGGATAAATCTGACGACGCAAGAGAGAACTCAATTCGGTCCGGTTTTCTGAGCACAGACACTGAAGCATACACACACAGAAAGCGCCTCTCACAACGTGCGAGTACTCTTTTGCGTCGCATGAACGGAGAATTACACACAAAATGATGTCGAATTGTCCGTTTTGACGAGTATTCACGTAAACACAGTTGATTACGTCTTAAGTGAACGTAAACAGCAGGGAGAACGTGTATCAGTACATTGCATCCATTGCAGCTGTGCATTCGGTTTTAAATTGTAGAGAAATGCTTAATAAGTGCACTGTAACTAAACCCATTAGATTTTAGCCGACTGAATTTACTGTAGATTTAGTCAACTAAAATCGTATGCTATTTAGTCGACTAAAACTAGACTAAAACTAAAAACTATTCAGATGACTAAAATATGACTAAAACGAAATGGCATTTTAGTCAAAAGACTATGACTAAAACTAAATCAAAATTTGCTGTCAAAATTAACACTTGATTCACATCAGAAAAGATGAATAGAACTCAAAAAAGTTGATCAAAGTTTTTAATTTTGGGACATAAAGTCGGGCCCCGCATATTCTGTCTAACAGCTGCCATCTCTGACAGGAGGAGATGTGTTTGCTTTGTTTTTATGTTATGATGCGAACAAACTGAAAAAAAAAATGTGTGTAGACTCCATCCAATAAGTGCTGGTTATTTCACAGACACAAAACGTGAAATATACAGCTGTGTTCCTGGAGGTCACCCGCTACACTTAAACACAGTTTTGGTTTCCAATCTGTCTGGAGATCAGACTACTTGTTCGTAAAAATAAATGAACCATAGATGGATTTTTGGGACAGAAAACGGGAAGATTTCAGTCTGTAAGATTTAAGCCTATAATCAACCTCCATAATCCTGTGAGTGGCGACAGCAGCGATTTGCACTCGCATGAGAGGATCTGTTCACATTCTGCACTTTTAATAACGAAACAGCTATTAATGTTCAATTGTGGTCTTCAGTCAGGCTTGAAGAGCTGAATTATTTATTAGTCCGTTCATCAGGGCCGAGTGTGTTAACTCATCCAGTGGCACAAAATGTTTCCAAACCATCAAAGCATTCTTTCATCGACATATTGAGCATCATTTGCACAGATCTTCAAAACATCAGGATGCATTAAATTAAGTTGTGATGGCCACTCTGGCTAGTTGACTGATTCACATAAACGTAGTCATTTTAAAAGAAGTCTGTCAGAGGGCCCAATTCACAGTGTTAATATGAAGGAATTTTCCGTATTTTGTTTTACCTGTATTATGATTTCATGCATTGCATTATGTTGTGCTTTAGAATAAAAGGAAATATCTGTAAACTTAACAGATTGAAAAATACCAGAACCTTTTCTTCTTACAATATGCATAATCTGACATGTTGAACGAGGAAAAAAAGGCATTATCAGGAATTTGTGGATGAAATCAAGCACCGCCTCCAGTCACCTGACTAAAGCCCACTCTTCAATATCTGCTCATTTCCTGGCCCTGCATTATCATCTCCCAAAATACATCACATGACAGGAGCGAAATGTCATAAAATCAGTGTTCAACAAGAAAGAAAATGCTCTCCAATAACTAATGCCTCTGAAATTATACATGCATTCACTCGAATGTAAAAAATCACATTATTGTACGGGTGATGTCTGATAACTTCCCCGATCTGAGTTTGGATTCAATTAAAGGCTGTTCCAGCGACCAGGGTAATAAATTCAGAAGTGACAGACCTATCACATTCAATCCATTCATCATCTTGACAAACGACTGTGACTCATTAACAGACTGTGATGTGCTTTAGCTCGGCGGTTCTCATTGACGGCCTAAAACCTTAAAATGGACATCAGGTCATGGACAACAGCAAAAAACCATTGCAAATGCAAATAATAGTAAAGTATAACTCACTGTGTGTTCATTCAAACACAACAATTTGACTCAAAAAAGACAGACTCATGTACTCATCTGTACTTAGCCTTGAACAAAACCACATAAAGTACAGGAAAAGATGAACTAAACTATATTCAGTACAGGTTCAAATACAAAGGGAAAAACACTTGTGTAGGTTTGTGCGTGGAATGCGATTTGCGTTGAACGAAAGAGATGTTTAGAAAGCGAACTGGACCGCTTTGTTGCATCAGTTTTTGAGCCTATATGCATTTCAGAGTGAAATAATTAAGTTCCAGTGTTTGACTTTAAGGACATTTTTGTTTCAATGTTGGTTGTCCAGTAAGCAAATCTGAATCCTGGAGAAGTAGAAGCAGTGCTTTAGCCGTCTGTGATGGATTTGACAAACGACTGTGACTCATTAACAGACTGTGATGTGCTTTAGCTCGGCGGTTCTCATTGACGGCCTAAAACCTTAAAATGGACATCAGGTCATGGACAACAGCAAAAAACCATTGCAAATGCAAATAATAGTAAAGTATAACTCACTGTGTGTTCATTCAAACACAACAATTTGACTCAAAAAAGACAGACTCATGTACTCATCTGTACTTAGCCTTGAACAAAACCACATAAAGTACAGGAAAAGATGAACTAAACTATATTCAGTACAGGTTCAAATACAAAGGGAAAAACACTTGTGTAGGTTTGTGCGTGGAATGCGATTTGCGTTGAACGAAAGAGATGTTTAGAAAGCGAACTGGACCGCTTTGTTGCATCAGTTTTTGAGCCTATATGCATTTCAGAGTGAATGGATGGTGTCTGTGATGGATTTACCTCAACAGCTTCAGACGCTCGTTCATATTCACGCAAACAGCCTTCGGTTTGAGCCTGGAAGGCCCTTCAGAATCAGTGCTTACGGATGAAGGGGAGGTTTCTGCATCGCCACAATCATCTCAGCTCAAGTGTTGTCACAGTATCGATCGGTTTCTTGTTTTTGTGCTCTGCTCGTTCACACGCTCCTCTCTGGCTGTTTACACTGAGACTCTGCTAATGTTTGCTTTGCTCTTCATTTGGACAGTTTCTCCCCTTCTGTCTCGTTCAGATGTTGCGTAACGGCGTTCTTCATTATGCTGAAGAATCTCCCTGAAGTCAACGTGACTGTCCACGATCTGTTTTACTTCCGTATTTCTGATTCAAGTTATTAAATGTATTGAAGGACTATGCAGATGATGCACTACTGAACTGTGCACAATAAGAGCAGAAATGTGTGTCGAGGGTCATTTTTAATGCCATAACATTTTCTCATCTCATTTAGAGGTAAGCCATTGGCTCTTCACTTTGCTCGGAGTTTTGGTTTAATACACCTGTACTTCACCTCTAAAGGCACTTCAAATAACACTTAAAATAAGAATGTGCTTTTGAGAACTTTATGGACAACATTATGGAAGACTTTTATGCACTTACTGGTGCTATCTTGGAAATGCTTGTATTCCCTTTATGCAATGTAAATCTGGTACTTAATTTCTTCAACTTTTATTATAAACCACATAAAAAAATACTATAGTAATTTATAGTAAATACTTTGGTTTTTGAACCATACTATAGTAAAGTGTATTATACTGTATACTGTATATTATAGTATTTGCAACACTTTGTTAAAGAATGCCACAGCATACTGTAGTATTAACTATAGTGAACTGATAAACTGTAATAAATACAGTAGTATACTTTAGTTTTTACTACAGTAAACTGTAGTGTATTGTAGTATAATATACCCTATAGTTGTGGAAAACTTAGTACAGTATTGGGTAAAGTAATTTGTTTAAATGACTGTAGTTGTTATATTACCACAGCAACTATAGAATCATCACAACAAATTAATTCAAGTACTTTACTATAGTATGGTTCAAAAACACTATAGTATTTACTATAAATTACTATAGTATTTTTTCATGTGGGTATTCACGGATGGTGAAACACAATGCGACTGATTGCAAAACTGCTAAATGAAAGGCAATGTGTCCTTCAGTACTGATATACGGTAGTGTAGAAATGGTTCTGCAAATGATGTGAACCTTTACAATAGACATAACCGACCCATAAACCCATGAAGCCAATTTAATCCAGAGAACAGCACCTGTAACTGTCACTTTCCCTCCTTTCAGCTCAAATTCTTACAACTCAATTATCATGTCCTTGAACCCAGTGCCTGGCAGAGCTGGATTTCCCTCTTTTGCAGAAAGAAGCACATGCTCTGATTCAGATAGACATTTGCACAATGACCAGAATCTCATATCACATGTGAGTCATTTTTTATCACAGTAATACTGTATATATCATGATATATACTGTATTTCTCCCATAGACTGAAAAAAAAAATGTTTTATACCATTAAAAAACCATTAAAACCAGTTTTGTTACTTACAATAAATGTTAGCTGAAATAAAATATAATAAAATAAAA